CCCCAAAACCCCAAAACCCCTTGAATCTGTTCTAAATTGAAAGAAAAATATATAAAACTTGAATAAAAGTTTCTTAATTAAAATAATTATTAGTATGGCATCAGTTCAAATAGGCAATAAAAATAGCTATTGGAAGAAGTTAGGAAAGATTGTAAAAAATCAAGATATATTTGGCTATCCAATAAATTTAACTTATAAATCTTGAACTGTGTATTAAACTAAGGTTGGCGGGATACTTTCTATTATTTCGAGAATTTTGATAATCACATACTTCATACTATGCGTATTTGATGTTATATACAAAAAGAGCACAATGAGAAATTCAGAATCTATTTAAAATCTTTAGAATTTCAATAGCCATATCAATCTAGACTTAAATAATTTCGACATTGCAGCATAGATTCGATACTAACTGAATGACTCATACGTTTCAGACAATATAGATAAATATGCTTTTATAGAAATGAATCTGATGAAATTCTAGTATTCATCTGTTGAAGGCAAACTTATATATAACGTTTAACTTGAGGCTTTGGATCTCGTTAACTGCACTTAAGATAGATTCTTTGGCCTTTGGTCGAATTTGGATAAATTTAATCTGAAAAATAGTTTCAATTGTCCGAAGTCATTGAATGCAACTTTACGAGGAAGCTTAGCAGGATATAGTTCAGAGTTTCTCTCAGTGAATTTAAAAAAATGTAACAATTTAACAAATTCCAAACCCACACCTCCATCAGAAGAAAATGTTCTTGGAACATTCAGTTAAACGAATGCGAAACTTTGAAACAATAATTGTGCTAGTGAATAGGAAATAGATAGAGTCTTTAAAAATCTTGAACTCTATATCCCTATTCTATAGTAGTATTTTGATGAAAATGATTTTTCAGGTAATCCTATAAAAAATTCTATGTATGTTCAACTTCTTACATCGATTCCAAATATATCTTAGACATACATTAACAAAATAAGTTAAAATACTGTTACCACTAGAGATAGCTCATTTGCAAGAATTAATGACAAAGACCATACCTATATTGGTATGAGAACAGATTATTAATTCTAAAAACCAATTAATCCATTATTTGATCCCCTTAACGTGTATTTTATGATAGATGAAAGATCTAAAAATACTGAAAGAGAAGTATACACATTTTTTGATGCCCTTTCTGCAACTGGAGGTTATATGGAGATTGTTAAACTAATATGTTTAGCCTTAGTTAGTTAATTTAGACATGATATGTTTTTCTCCTCAATAATAAAGAAATTTTATTTTGAAGAGATTAAGCAATCAAATTAAAAGACTAATATTAAAAATTATAGGACCTTTGCTAACGCGTCTCAAAATGATGAAAGCATTTAAAATGAGAGTAACTTCAGCTAAGTTGATTTAAAAGATTAAACAGATGCTTAAGCTGAGTTTAAAAACAAAAAATAATAGTCTTTACACTAATAATACATAGAGCAAATAAGAAAAAGATGAAAATTCTATTTTACCATTAGAGACAAATTATCCAGCATCTTTAGCAAAATATTTTGCTAAATAAGACATTCTTCTGTCTAGAAGTACAAAAAATATAATATGGGAGTTAAATAGATAAACAAAGAATTAGATCTAAGAGTATTATTAAGTAGTATTTAAAAATAGCAAATCCTGTTCGCAACTTATTTCAAAGATTTCTAAATTAACTTGATTCCATACTTTCATTAAAACATCTTATAGCCTCAGAAAAAAATGAAAAATAAACAACTTGAGCAGAAGATAAATTTTTCAATATAAAGGATTATTCTCAATAGAAAAATTAAATAATTTGAAGAACTAAATGAGTCATTGCATAGCTTAATTGAGGATTCTAAATACAATAAGATAAGTTCAAAAATATTAAGTCTATTAAGTAATCATGAATAAATTAACAAAATCTAAAATCATCAAGTAGAAAATACCACAAAAATTATCGTTTCTAAACCTCAATCAGAAATTTAAAAAGATCTTAACTCTGGCAATAATTCATTAAAAAAAATAAAAAATAAGAAGTTTTGGGATAGTACTGATTAATCTATCATTAATTAAAGTAATGGCCTCAAGGATCAATTCGTAAAAGATAACGATAAAACTGTTTAAATAGGAAATGAGGTTATTTTAAAAAACAGCAAATTAGCTATGAAATAATACACTCATTAAATAAACCATATGGCTTATCCTTAAACAGAAAGGAATTTAAAGTCTATCGATTTTGAAGAGATTTTAAAATCACTGCAAAACGAAGAGGATAGAACATCTTGAAAGACTTAAAGTTATATCAAGATTTATTAAGATTATTATTATTTCGTGGATGATAGAGAATATATCTGATTTTTTTATATTTGATTATTTTATTTTAAGAAATTTATAGCCTATATCAAAGATGATGTGAATTTAGTCTATGGGGTTTTGGGGTTTTGGGGTTTTGGGG